AGTAGCTGGGATTACAGGCATGTGCCACCATGCCCGGCTAATTTTTTGTATTTTTAGTAGAGACAGGGTTTCACCATGTTGGCCAAGATGGTCTCGATCTCTTGACCTCATGAGCCACTCGCCTCAGCCTCCCAAAGTGCTGGGATTACAGGCGTGAGCCACCGTGCCCAGCCCATGCTAGTTCTTAAATTTCATTGTCTTAATGCGTTTCTTTTTGTAAGACAGGACAAAAAAAATTCCAAGGGTTCTGTAAGATGACAGTACAACAGAGTGTATTACTCTCTTTTTGTAAATGTATGTGAACTTTAAAAAATATGTGCATTAAAGCTGGGTGCGGTGGCTCACGCCTGTAATCCCAGCACTTTGGGAGGCCGAGGCAGGTAGATGACAAGGTCAGGAGTTCAAGACCAGCCTGGCCAACATAGTGAAACCCCGTCTCTACTAAAAATACAAAAATTAGCCAGGTGTGGTGATGGGTGCCTGTAGTCTCAGTTATTCTGGAGGCTGAGGCAGGAGAATCACTTGAACTGGGGAGGCGGAGGTTGCAGTGAGCCAAGATTGCACCACTGCACTCCATCCTGGGCGACAGACTGAGATTCTGTCTCAAAAAAAAAAATGGGTTATTATCTTGATTGTCCTTAATTGTCAAGTTTTAAGCTAGAGCAAATTTAAACGGCTTCATAAGTTATTGAAAAACAGAGTTTATAATAGAAGATCTAACATACAGTTAAGCATAATGGGACTAGGGAACTCCTTGTAGAAAACTTTACATAAAGAATATTACATAGATTATGGATGTTCTAAGTGGTATGTCAAATGTCAAAGAAGTAATTTGTACTAAAAAACACTTATAGAAGATAACTTATGTATAATTACTTATTTCAAATTCTTGGTGTATTAACTGAACTACTGACATGTCTAGTGTAGTAGACAATAAAAACAGTTGGAATCCTATACAAGTGAGTCTTTATGAGAAATTTCTATCATTAATTGGTATTATAAGGTAAAATAAGGGTAAGTTTATAACTGACAGTGTTACAAACTCTGCCAAAATTTAGCTGATAAAATTTATCTGAATTTGGTTATAGATGTATTAATTCAGTGCAACCACAAGATCTGTATGACCTCCAACAAAAGCATATGACCCATTGCCTACTTCTTGAAAAATAATTGCTAAGGAATAAGGCTAAGGTCCAGGGAGGACTGTAGACGGGGATTTTCTCTCAGGGAGCAAAACGTGGACTTGTAACTGGGCTGACCAAGAAACGTCCTCTCTTGCCCTGGCAGTTTACCTTCATGACTACCATATGTTTTCCACTTTTCCCTTTTCTGAATGGAAATTTCCATTGTAGATACATTTTTTTCTACTTCACCATTGCATAATACATGTAAAGGAAGAGGTACAACTTGCGTTTTAGTTTATAGGTCATCAGACCACAATGAGTCACCTTTAGACTTAGTGGAGAG